GCGCAAAATATTTGCATTGGGCAGCAAGCTCTACACCTTGAGGAAAGTCAGGCAGCAAATATCTTCGTGTTGTTCGGTGACGTTTTCTTTATATCCTTATATAAATTCATTGCGTCGTTGCACTACCACGGTTCCGAACAGGCACTGTAAACCCCACCGCTACTAGTAAGCATGAAATAGTTCCCGGGAACTTGAGTACGAGAAACATGCGCAGAAATACCGGCTGTTTTTTTTTAACTATTTTGTACGGAATAACTTTAATGATTTTACGCTGAGAGCTTTTGAATCAGGGGAACGGAATATGGTACACAGCAGTCATTTCCATCTCCAGTCGGTAAGTCCTACTTTGCGACGTTATAGCATTATCTGCCTTGACATTGGGGAAAGGAAACTTGCTTATTCGGAAACTTTGGACATTTTTACAATACTCTATCCCATAATTACATGAATTTCACCGAAGTTGATTTTCGACTTAATTCCGCTTTTTTGATGCGCCTGGCCCACTGTGCAGCGGTCAGCTCGCGACCGCGACTGGCTGAAGGGCTGTAGTCAAACTCGCGGACCTATCACTCACTCACATCAGCAGGTTTCCGCAGAGTTCCGACACTTGAAACTTCAATGCAGTAGTGGTGACGGTGAGCGGACGCTGACAAGACAGAGACCGAGGACCTGTCGTCTGTCCATCAGGGCGGCGACGCCCGAATTATGCAACCATGCAAAACAGGCGCTCAATTCCTCGCCCAAGCAGTGCAGCCCGCACTCATTTCATTACCTGTCCCCCAGGCGGCAGGTGGACCATTTCAAAGTCAGATTTCCACTTCAACTGTGTCGCCAAGGCGATAGGGCAGTGAGCCACTGGCAGATTCTGAAAACGGCCACTCACCGGCGCCTGGTAGCGCCGTCAAGGTCACGGCGGCGTGGACAGAGGGCTCGGTGCCCGACGTCCTGCGCTCACGTCCGCCAATGCATGCCCAGGTGATAATGACGGCGGCATTGTACCCCACCCGGCACGCAGCCGATTACTACCGATGACTATGGAGAACGGCCGAGGCCGCGCCGAGCGCTGGTGGTCAGCCGAGTCGCTCGCTCGCGCCTCGAGTGGCGTGGCGGTGGATCGGCCGCGGCGAAACCGGTCGTCGCCTCACGGTCGCGCCGGTCGGTCGATTCACCGACGGCTGGTCGGCAGACCAGATCCATGGGCAAGCAGAAGACTGACGCACCGCCGGCACAGACATGTGCCCGTGAATAAAGTCGGCGTCCTCGCCGCAGGACTGCCTGTCTTGCCGAGCTGCCAGACTGACACGCCCGGACCGGCGCGGCGGGGAGACCGGGCCAAATCGGGTCGGGTCGAGCCGGACCGGGCCACGCGCTCGCGCCCTCAAACGACTTTCGGTTTCGCTGGGGATTCCGCGTGCGCGGGCCGACGAAAACGAAACCGACCCGGCCTCCACGCTTAGGTGGCCGTGAAGCTAAGCCGACAATCCGTCGCGTGTCTATATGTGGAGCTCTTCGCGGTGCATTCACTCACACAGTGGCACCGCAAACCGTCCAGTGTCGGGAGAACTGGGCCGAGAGAGCCGGGTCTAGCGTGGCCACTCCCCGCCAGCGGTGATCTGGTGCCCTGATCGGGTCAGGGTCGGCCAGACCCGGCCCGCCCGCCGTGGTCCGGTTCAGGAACACAGGAGCTCGGTCGTTCCTTGGTTCTCGGCCCGCTCCACACACCGGCATGCTAACGGCACGGCGTGGCGATGGAGGGCAGACATTCCACCATGCAACCTGCACGCCATGATACGGCAGATGGCTTACCTTGGTCATGGGTGCGCAGCGGCGTGAATGTCACGTGAGCTTGGCATATTTCACATTCAGGAATGTAGGTATAAGGTAAACAAAAGCCTACATTAAATTTGTCTAGCATATTGTTTGTGAATACGTCGCGACACTAAAACCCGCACTTTACCAGGAAGTACTAAAACATGTGTCACAACCACTTTCGACGCATAAACCTTGACTCCCCGCCCGCTCCCGGCAATACTATATAGGGTAAACGGGCGCCTGACAGGAAACCGATGCGCTTTTGTTCACTCCACGAGTCTGAGGACGTCCCGTTGCGGTCGCCCACACCGAGTCAACTCCCATAAAAACGGTCCATCGGCGCCTTCCCCGCCATTTTCCTGTCGACCTTCGGGAGGTTTTCCCGACTGACCCGAAACCCTCGCCGAGGTTTGGCGGTCGAGTGGTGCGCGTCTCAAACTTCTGGAGTGTTCCGGTGGTGGAAGACGATCAATAAGGGGAGGAGACGCTGGGCAATCGCCGGAGGTCCATGGTGGGCCCGGGGCCGATCGATGCTAGAACGATCAAGGCCCAGTCATCGATTCCCCTGTACACCGTAGGTCATTCAGTGGCCTTTAACTACCTACATGCACAGCACCAGTATATCGCCGTTTCTACCAGCCGTCTTTCCCTTTATTCAAAGTCCGATAACATACCCCAGTGTAAGCGCCACCACTGCCATCAGGTCAGCCATCGCTGGCGTGCAATGTGGGCAGCGTCGGACATGGCACGCCGACTGAGTCCAACCAACCGGCCGGCCGCCGAGCGCACCTGACTCGTTCCTCACCACAGCCCGGTCCCTGAATGTTCGTGGCGTGTTGGTGGGGCGCCGATGTACCAAAACGGACCCCTGTTGACCATTGGTCGGTCGTTCTGTTGGTTGGTCGGTCGGTGAGGCAGATGGTCCGATATGAGCTGGTATGTTTTCTTTCATATGGGGCCGCGGCTGGACAACTAAACACGTGCGGTGACGTCACTTCAAAGCCCCCCGCGTTCCATATTGATCCGCTGGTAGGGCTGTATCGACCGACGGTCATGCATCGACTGCGCTGGCTCGGTGAGGCGTTACGTTAAAATTGTCGTAGTGAAGTCACGCTGTTTACAGGACAGCGAAAATTAAAGGGAAATGTAGGTATGCATAGAAGGAGGCTGGATGTCGTAATATAGATATTATATAGGCATTCGGTCTTGAAGACGTAGATGAAAACGTAGATGGATAGACTTAAAAGTAAATGAAACCCCTTGTAACTTCTGAGTCAATGCCAGTTGGCTAGTGAGCACTCTACCATCGTGAGAATCAGAACATCGTATCTTACATTGTTTCTGTGTTAGTAGATAACGTTTTCTAGGCATTATAGCGGCAATTAAGCTATGTGCCAATCTAAATATCAATTAAAGGTAGTGTGCCACCTTTGAAAGATTTCCCATTTTATTTTTCCTAGGATAAGAAGCTTCTGTTTTTACCTAATATCGCAAAAAAAAAATCAAAAATGGGCCTGGAATAGTGCCTTTTTCGCCTAAAAGTTTTTCGGTTTTTAGATATGTATAACAACTGTATAGTGGGCTCACCTGCAAACAGGCGTCGGGCAACAATCGCGAATGCGGCGCACTTGTGACAATAAGCAAAGGTCATTATAGTGTTTTGACCATACGACGTACGGGAATGAGTTATCAGCTGTCTAATCGTAGACAACACAATGTCGAGCCTTAAACTGTAAGCCCGTATTGGTATTGTTTCTTTTATTTGGCTGTCGAACATTATTTATGGTTTGAAATATGATTTTATGTAAAATAATTGATATGAAAAAGCCGTCTTATAAGTTATGACCCCATTTCACCACACGCAAGTGGCAGAAATGACAATGATCAGCTGACGCATTTTTCTTGGCCGAAGTCAGAGCGCGCGGCCCGACGCACCACGCGTATTTGGAAATTCCGACCTCGACGAGCATCAGAAGCCACCTAACAGGCGTGTTCGAAACCGCAGGAGATGATGATGAACGGGTTTATCGAAACTTGATTGGATGAGCATATCGGTAATAGCGATTTCAGTGTGTGCATTTATTGTTCATAGTGGTGTGAAATGTGGTTGGGGTACGACCGACAACCCGTCGGGGCGAATTTCGCACTGGGGTACTCAAAATTTGAAGAATTTAAGACGTTTCCATGAGTTTTGAAGGTATGGATAAGTTCTAAAAATCCGGTTCTCCTTATCTGGGCCATTAACTCCATACGGTCCAAGAAAGCTGGCACACTACCTTTAAAGTCTGCCGATAATGCCCGCACAAATCTTTGTCAATAACAGAAGCGTAAAACGGCCTTTCGAGCTATGTTCCCATCTGCACCCCACAGCTACCGTTCCGGCCTCCGCAGATACCGCTCCCGGATACCGTCTTCTCCCCGGGAATCTGTCGGACCCCAGCCGGGGAGATCGGTCTGTCTGACCACCGCTCGGAGTTTCGCAGGCCATCCGACGGCGGGGTATGCGAGGACCCACAAAAACGGTCAGAGGTCCGGCCATGGGCGGCTCCGTCCGGCCCGGCCGCGACCGCGCCGGTCCAGCCAGCCGCATACGTTAGCCCGGCGGAGGCCGAGGGCGGGGCGCAAAAAGAGCGCCGCGCGCGCCCCATATAGTGCCGCAATGGCGGCAATAGGCGAGCGCGACCCTCTATATCAGGCGGTCGGCGGTTTTTGCTGCTCAGCCCGGTCGGGCCCCGCCGAGCCAACACTTGACAACAGGTAACCACTCAGCACCACAGACGGCCAAATTGAGGCACTCCGCGGAGTGTGGGGCCTCAAAGAGGGCTAAGTGGTGGTAAAACACATTACAAGGCTCTTAAAATGAATGACACATCGTGTCCCGTTTTCCGGTGGGCTGCTCAATCAGGCTTCTTATGCCAGTGTTCATGGATGGTCTCTTTTTGCTAATCGGACCTCAATTCTGTCCAGAATTTATGGGTCCATGAATGACGTTAAAGCGAGGAATATTTTAGTTCCCCATATAAGATGACTTCTAAAATGCCACAAAGCCCCAATATCTTACACGAGGCATCAGTATGGTATTTAAGATCACTCATGTAGTTAAAACACCTTACTGAAGATGTTATACCCAGTTCCAGTCCGACACATCCCGCCAGGCACATAAACCTCAATCCCTCACTCGAACTCACCTGACCATCTTCCGGTGGGTGTTGTGCTGTCCGCTCTCGTTGTCGTCGTTGTACGTCACGTCGATGGTGGCGTCCTTGGATTTGATGTCGGCGGCGCTGTGGCCGTTGCCGTTCTTCTCGGGCGTCATGGTGACCAACTCGAGGTTGACCGCCTCGTGGTCCTGACGGGAGCCGTTCACTGCCTGGCTGGCCAGCTCTTCATTGGTGGCCTGGGTGATGTTGAGCCTCGCCGTGCCCTCCGTCTTGTCATCCTCGAAGACGGGGTTGTCGAAGCCCTTGACGGTGACGTCGTCGGAGCTTTCCGCCATCATGGTGGCGCAGTTCTGGTTGAGGTCGCTCTGCAGCGAGAGGCGCGGCGCCGGCAGCGGAGGCCGACGGGCGACGACCGGGCGACGGGAGTCGGGCGACTCCGGAGTCCGCCGCTCCTGGGGGAGAGAGGAGAGTCAGTCAGAGAGCTGCCGAGTACCTTCATGGGGCATGGAGCTGTTGGAGGGTCGCACAGAGAGCTGCTGGAGAGCCGGTTAGCCGTACAGAAGCATTTGTAGACCGTTTAAAGAAGCGACATGCAGAGAGAATTGGATCGGTCACCGGATCTGTGTGGCTGGTACCGGCATTGAAAGGAGACTAGCATTGGACCAGGGCGTCACTAAATGCTGAGAGCCTATGCTGGGAGAGGCCATTTCTTCAGCAAAGGTCTGTTTGTCATGGTCTGTTGTTTTATGTAGAGCATTGTCATATTTAATGACAACCATCTGAAACGGACATTGATGACCCAGCTGATCTCATGCGTGAAATCATTCACATTCACAGTCCAGATGTTGCAATCGCAACATCTGGAGATCGAAATCTGTCGGCTTCCTCCTTCGAACTTGAGGCAATGACTCTCCGAACAGAGTTTATACATTCCGCATGGGGAGAGCGAAATGACTGCATGAGCAGGTGGTACCAATAATTAGAGGGCGTGACCACTGGGCAGACCTCCCGTACCACTCACCCTCACGATCTGCCGGGTGCTGTGACCACCTGTCGGTCACAGTACGTCACCGGCTAGCTCTACAAAAGTAGGTCCATCGGAACACACATGGCTCGTTCACCCTTGGCCGAATACACGGGGCCACTAATAAGTGAACGGATGTCAAGGGCTGGCCTCTTGCTGTTGAAAACAGCACAATCGATCCACTCAGAAACATGCAGAATCAGCCGAGGTTTTTCCTGGTGATCTGCTGTTTGCCGGTAGCTCGTCTAGTTCCGCCGGCTGTTATGTCGACCAGGAGACCTCAGACCAGCCCAGCTGCCCCACCTACATGCACGCGTGGACCTACGACGCGACCTTGCGAGACCCGCGCTTGTTGACGCGTTTCCATGGCAACGTGCGGCGGGACAACCAACAGGCTGTTCGGATCTATAGGATCGATCGGTACTTTTGTCGGTGGTTGGCGGCCAGTGGACCCTAAAACGGTCAGTGCGCCACCTGGTGAACTATGGGGCCACGAACGGTATAGATCGACGGTCAGCGGGTCCGGCAATGCACCACGAACGGGACACTACCCACCCTTGCATGGAGGAAGCCCAAAGCTGTCTCAAACAACGCCACTCCCGACGGGGGCGGGGGGGGGGGGGGCGTCAGAATTCGACAGAACGCATAGGTGCCCGGGTACTACCCGGTACTCCCCGGCCCAGCACGGGATTAAAGGGGAGCTCACGCCACTCTCTGGAACGGAGTGTGGTTGCGTTGCAAGTGGAATAATTAGAATTCCTGACTATGGCATGCGCAAAGTTCGGAGGTCCAACGGAGATCATGAAAAACTGGGTGATGATGTGGAATGCTTGGCATGCCGAGTAGATGTACGTTCTGTTTAAAATTGCCGATTATAGTCACGAACTATCATATATAGGTACGGCGTACTACATTCTCTTACTATTTTACCTCGCAATCGAAGGAGGTATATTTTGATATAAGTTTCACCTTTATATTTGGTGAACATGTGCGTACAACATACATCCGTTTCTAGACAGCCCGTCTAAGTCACTCAACACTCACTCTAAAAAATCTAAAACTTCTTTAAGCTCACAATGGAACCAATTGGCATCTCCAAACGGCGACGGATCAGCCCAGAGGACACGGAAGGATCCATCAGTGGTCATCACACAGTTCGACTGCATTGTATTGTGAGCAGGTATTGCATTGTATCTTGTGCTGTCCGACCGCAATAAACAGCCAGTGGCGGAGAAGGGAACAGGCAAGGGCTGGGATTTCCATGGATGACGGGTGGAATAGAGTGGCAGCTGCATGGACACGGTAGACATCACGTGAGCCCTTCAGAGCACACGAGGACGATGTTTGAACCCGGAACGGTACAATCAAAGTGATGATATTCTGCTGTTGGACTTCTCCAAGTCATGCAGTGTTTCTATGAGAAATTGGTAGGTAATGGAAACATCAAAATCAACCTATTGCCTGCCACCAGCTGGTTACTGGTGAATGCCTATATACAAGGCAGCAATGCAGCCATGTCACTACATCTCCTGCATCATCAAGCTTACCGCTCGTTTTCTTAGGCCTTAACAGCTTCATGATGACAATGGTATTTACGTTCTCATCTGATTGACCCATTCATTGAATAGACGATTTGAAGATATAACATTCACCCAATATTCTTCGAGGCCCGATGCATCAGTGAAACAAAGGAAACGTGTGCATAGGCTCGAAGCGGGTAACGAGTTACAGAAAACATCGAACCGTCTTTTTGCCTATATTCGCCGTTGATGGGCTCACGAAAGCCGGCTTATTTTCCTCCAGTACCTATACTGTTTGATCCTATAGCGATGGGCATCAGAACACGGGCGGATAATCTACAAACAAGTTGTCAAAACTAGAAGATGCATGCCATCAACACACGTTTATAACGCGGGAGTGTGGATAGGTATTGAAAAGTAAAACGGTTAACGGACAATAGTTTCCGGTACTCTGAAGGAGAAGATGGATGGAGAAAGAGAGAGAAAGAGAGAGAGAGAGAGAGAGAGAGAGGGAGAGAGAGAGAGAGAGAGAGAGAGAGAGAGAGAGAGAGAGAGAGAGAGAGAGAGAGAGAGAGAGAGAGACAGAGGGAGAGAGAGAGACAGAGGGGATAGAAAGAAAGAGAAATAGAAACTGAAAGAGAATGAGATAGAGGGACACAGGGCAAAGACATAAACAGACAGGGAAAGACAGCAGGAAGGAGATGATGGAATTCAGAGATACGCAGCGCCACTGTAAGTGCGTTCGTTGGCAGTTTCCTATCTAAGGCCGTCAGATCTCCACCAACAAGGTGCGCAGCTATGACCCGGGCACCTCTCACCCCTGCGCGGCCATTGGCCTGTGCTGGTGGCCCGCTGATCGTTCCACTGCAGGCGGCAAGAGGAGCCGGCAGTTGCAGCGGCCGATCTAATGCGACCGGGTCCGGTTTGCTATCGTCATGTGCAAGGAAAGCTCTGCCGACGGCGGCTGCTATCGCTGATTGGGAGGGTGCCAGGAAGGTCTGTGCCTTCTGTTGAGAGTGCCGGGGGTAGGTCTGTCGCCCTGTTGGCGCCCATCGGGGCTGGCCTGCAGCCGAGGGTGGGCCCTGCAGAGTTATCGACCGGTGCCTGGTACGGTACCCTGTGCCCCAGGGAGAGACTGTGGACCGCTTGTGAAACTCCCCCAGAGCCCAGCCTTGACTCGGTACTGATTTCACAGTGGCTGGGCAGAGAGCGGTGGCCGCGCCACCTCGTCATCGGTCCCGGCTGCCTCCACGTAGTCGGTACTGTCCCCAGTACCCTACCGTCTGATGAGTGTTGACCACCGTTCCTACGCTGCGTCATCGGCCCCGGCTGCCGCCCCGCGTAGTCGGTATACTGCCCCCAGTACCTACTGTCTGCTGAGTCGTTCCTACGCTTCTTCATCGGCCCCGCGGCCGCCACCCATTAACACTGCCTCCCCCAGGCCCCAGTACAGGCTGTTCCTATACTATACTGAAGGCTATGTCAGATTGACTGTCATTTTAAGCATTTTAAGCGGGACATTATAAAAAATGAATGATAATCTCGCCAACTACTTTTGATTTTACTTACATTACACATATGAAATCAAAATATTATACCTTGGTGTATGTTTAATGCTCGACGCTATCATTTCCAACAAAATAATTATTCATATTTTGGAAAAGATATACGCATGCATGAAACCAGACATGTGGTTTTCATGGCCTTCATAGACCAGCCATCTCCAGCTTTGGGAATGTGTTGCTCTCTAGTCGCTATACATTGCGTGCAGCCTCACGCATTCGGTCTTCGGAAATATCTGCACAGCTCCCAGGCCCGGCACCGTGCACCGTTGACATTTTTTTTCGTCGCGGAGACGAGATCCGGAATGTTTCCTGGTCGTCTGTCTTCCACCCTACGACATGAATGGCGCTCGCCGGTGCTTCCAAATCGCTAAGCTCGGCACCGTGTGGCCCTCGTGTCGCTCCGTCCTGGCTGCCGATGTGGCGCGTCCCCGCCGCGTCCGTTAGACTGCAGGAGGTTCGGTGATCGCGTGTCGCCGGTGCCAGTTACCTGTGACCTTGGATCGCTGACTGGACGGGCGCCATTGTTCCAGAATGAGCCTCTTCAGGACCGATTCGCCGATGACTGGACGATAGCAGTGCGCCGCTCGGGCCGCGCCCGTTCGTACGCCAGAAAAACGCACGGCGCCGCTGAGGTTCAATTGTAATTTATCGTTCACTGTCATCGAACAGTAACCGCAAAACTTTGGTGATCATCCAGTAACCGTGAGTAGAGACACCTGAACCATGTTCCGAAGCGTCAGAAGTTATGGACAAGTCTGAGAGAATTTATAAGCCCATTAATAAAGAGCGTCAAACGCACGATATGTCTTTTTGAGTCTCAGCCTGAAAGCGGAGTTCTCTTTTGACCAAAACTGATGCCAATAACGAAACATTTCCATATTTTAGGTCTCGTTGATCAACTGATAGCTGAAAACAGTTTTACCTGCTCAACAGCTCACCATTTTTTCACCGAAACATCGCCTCAACAGGGACAATCCTGCTTCAGCTACCCTATTTCGAGCACGCCAAGGAAAAGTACCTACCACAAAATTTATGAATAAGTACACTCTACAATTATAGGTAGGTACGCCGTGTAAGCACGTTGAATGTAAAAAAAATAAGCATACAAGCTTGGATAATGATTGATGACTTCAAATGTAAGCGGGCTTAGCGAAAATAACTATCAAAACGTTCGTACTGCCGTCTGCACGGCACCAAATGCAGACATTTAGTGTTCTATGTTGAAAAATTATCACTGTAGGCAGGGCTGCGGAGTCGATGGATTTTCAGCGACTCCGACTCCGACTCCGACTCCGGCTTTCAAAAACCAGCTCCGACTCCGACTCCGACTCCGGCCAGAATTG